CCTCCTGAGCTCAAGTGATCCTCCAGCTTGGCCTTCCGAGTAGCTGGGACTACAGGTGCCACCACACCTAGTTAATTTTTGTATTTTTTGTAGAGATGGGTTTTCACCATGTTGCCCAGGGTGGTCTTGAACTCCTGGGTTCAAGCAATCCTCCCATCTTGGTTTCCCAAAGTGCTGGGATTGCAGGCATGAGCCACCACACCTCATCTGTCAGAAAAATTTTAAAGCGAAAATAAAGAAGCTCTTAAGAATTTTCTCCCCTGAGTGGTATTTTAGACAGAGAGCAGGGAGGGTAGAGGTAGGAAAGGAAGAGATGGGGTCAGGTTGAACACCTGTGAGACACTAGCAGTGCAATATGGCGGACATCGACAGCCTCAGTGCTAGGAACACAGAAACTGAATCTCCTGCAAGGAGGCAGGTGTGCATCTATATATAAGTCAGATGACCTGTGTTCCTATGAGTGCAAATTTGGAAAACTCACTCAGGTTTCCTTGTCAGCAAATTGGTGATAAAATCAACGTCGTAGGGTTGGTGTGAAAATGCAGCATGAAGTGCCCATGCACATGCTTTTTAACTAGAAGCCAATGTCATGCTGGGGTAGCAGTTCTAGGAAGTTGTGGCTGCTGGCTCAGTAGCATGTGGAGCAGGCTGAGGAAGTTCTTGACTTGAATCTGAGCAGAACCACTAAGAAGTTAGCTAAACTGCCTGGACAGTGGGAAAATCCTATGTGGGTATGTAAAAGGAAGAGAAACAATGTGAGGAAGAGAATGCAGAGATCCTGGCCCACAGAACAGCATCGGTGATCCTTAAGTAGCTGCGTGAGCTGCTTAGAGAAGTTAATTTTCTGGTTATAATTCCCAGCAAAGGAGAGGACTGAATAAGGAGAAGAAGAAAATTCCTTTCTCTGGTTAGGTTCATCAGATCAAGCAGTGACATATGTGAAGAAAGCATTTTCTGTGCACAAAAAATCAGGTCTGTATTTTTATAAAAGCTGTTTGTGCATTGTGCATCACTGGGGAGTTAGTTGCTGTTGGTTTAAAGTATAATATGAGGCATTTCTAGTAACTTCCATGATATGAATAAAGAAATTGAAAATGTTAGATACATTTACAGGAAGATGTAGAAAAAACTTTAGTCAACAATTTTGAAATATTTTTTGAAATTAAACTCAGTGGAACCAGTCTTATCTATGGTCTCAAGCCATGTCTGTCTACACCTTATTTCTTTTTTGATCTCATTTCAGGGAATATTACACTGGCTGGCCTCTTGTTAATCTTATTCTGAGCCAGAAAAGGTAAGGAAGCTGCATTTTCAGAATTGCATTTGAGTAATTTGTGAAATTGCATATTGCAATTTGCCACCATTTCTAACAGTCCTATAACTTTTTTTTCTCAACTGGGTGTTCATATTAACTAGGAGCTAGTTTCTCTTCTAGCTGGAGAGAATTGTTCAGAGTTGGAAGTAAAGCCAAAAATGTGTATTCTTCATGTTTGATTGCAAATGCATAGAAAATTAGAAACTCAATATATGCAAAAGATTTATGTGGAATTTAAGTACCTTCAAGGGGCAGTGGACAGGATAAAAAGTTATTTTTTACCTGTTTGTTTATAATTATCAAATATCAAGACTGAGACAAATGAGGTTGATTTAGAAAGAGTTGGCTGCAGGTGCTGGTTGCTCAGGTGGTTCATTTAAACTGCAGGTCAGTAACCTTGTCTCATGGTTCTGGTGCTCAGGTATCAGGTTAGGTCTATCTTTCTGCTTATGTCCTTTGTTACCCTCTGAGGACTTCAGTCCAACACAGATCAATAAAGAATAAGTTACATAAATATGCTCATAGATGGTCATTCCTAGAAAAGAAATTGCATTCAACAATATCTGGGTTCTACAGAACAGACATGCCTCCATTTATGCAACAAATAAGAAAAGTGTCTCAGTGACAGTGGGGAAAACACGGGATGTGCAGGTATGTAGGTAAAGTTGGGTTGGAACTTTCACTCTGCCGCATGCATGTGGGTGACCTTATAAAAGAAATGTTTGCTCTCTAAGCCTCAGTTTTCCCATCTGTAAAATAGACAGTCCTGGGGAATTTTTGAGGATTAAATGAAATAAAAGTGAATCAACCTATGCAAGCCTGACTATTGTGGTGTCCAGGCTAGAAAGATGCTCGATAAATATTAGGTTTGTTTTTATTTCTACAAAAAATGTGATCCTTAAGAGCTCCATCCAAATTCAAGTTTCAAATGTCAAATCACATTTTGCGAACTTTGGTTCATGTTCAGTTGAGGTGACCTCTGCATTATGAATTAGTAATCTCATCTTTCTTATTCATCACCACCAAAAGTATTATTGCAGGTTCAGTGAATCTCCTTTCCTTTATTAAGTCCATAAGGGTAGGGTTTATCTCTTAGATTCTCTTAAAACAGACCAATTTATGCCCACATAATATGAATAAACCCGTTCCTATGATACTCTGGAACAGATAAGAGTATTCCAGAACCCATATCCTCCTGCTTGGCCTCAAGCTCAGAGAATAAAGCAATAATCCAAAGGCACCTTTAGGCATGACACCCTTCTAGACATCTGTAGGATTCCTTCTTCCCCTCCACTTTTCATCTTAGCTTTTGCATTCCTGCTTTTGACAGAGTTTTATTTTGCCTCTTGGTAGTTTCTTTCCTACAGAAAATTTTGCCCCACTCTTTCCCCCTGATCTTTCCAAGTCGAAGCCTTCAGCAAATATTTGTTGAATGCCTGGATTATGCTAGGTGGGCGTTATGGACCACGGAAAATGCTGGAGATATAAGACATGCACTGTCCAATCGCAGCGCAGGTTGTGTTGACAGGTAAGATGAGGGCTTTGGGGAGGCAGTGTGCACGTTCCACTGGGCCAATGTGCTCTTCACTTTATTCAGGCTCTTGGCTTTGGAATGTATAAGACTTCACTAGACAGAGAAGGGGCGGGATGGGAAGATGAGGAATATGAACCTTCATGGAGGGGCTTTCCTTCCTCTTCACTGCAAAACATACCTGTCCCATATTGACTTCCTTTGCTTTCCCAGGTAACATTTAGCTCATCTTACTAATCATAAATGCTAGTAAATTAGTATTACCCATTATATATAACATGACTGAATTTTAAGAATTCAATGCCTTATCCCCAAACTATGACTTAATGGTGAAGATTTCAGTCCCCATTGTAGGATATTTTGTAAGCAGGCAGTCATTTCAATGTAGTATGTGGGTGCCTCCTTAGGCAGGTCAGGGGTGAGGTGGAAATGAGGCTGGGACCCTGCTGAGTAGAGGCATTGTCTTCAATACCAGGCTTCAGGGTGCTTTTTGGTCTACCCATTAATATGAACTACCTTGAGAATAATCCCTTCTTTGCTGTGGTCACAATTCAGGTAGAATTGGAATAATCATCCTCTTCACTCTGCATTAAACCAGGCAAAGGTTCCATCCCTGGGTACCATTGTCTTTCTTGATAGAAGGGTGAGTCAGAAGAAAATTTACTCACTCCCATTCATTTTCTGCTTATTATTTCCTGCAGTGAGCTTTCCTTGTATAATAAACAGCTTCTGTGGGTGTCTGAGTTGCTCTAGAAAGAGAACATGCTGTTCCTGTGTGTAGAATGCCTTCTAAAGGAAGCATCACAGTGAACACAGAGTAGAAGCTTGCCTCACAGGTGGCAGGAGTTTGTCTGCAGTGTTCTGCATAGAGCAGAGTCAAGCCACCTTCACTTCTGATTGCAGGCATGAGGTAAATGGGCCCTTGGTCTCTCTCCTGGATTCAAGTCCTTCTTAGCCACTGATAGGTCATGTGACCATAGGTAGGTTGTTTAACCTTCCTGATCATTCATTTTCTCAAGTATAAAATGGGGATTATAGAATTTGCCTCACAGGCTTGCATATAAAATAAGAATTTTTGAGAGTGGGGCATAAAATGTCCAATAAGTGGTAGCTCTCTATGAAGCCACTGTTGTTACTGGGTTCCTTTCTCACTATGTGGCTTCAGGTAGCTGATAGAAGCTCTGTGAGCCTCAATTTCCTCATTTGAAAAGTGGAGTCAATATTATCTCACTGAGCTGGTATGAGGATTAAATGAGATGCTGTGCAGGTGCTTAGCACATAGTTAGGTATGATGTTGATACTGATAGATGTGTTTTCTTCACCCTCACCCATCTTTGCCTGTTGGCTCATGGTTGAAATTCCTTCACGATGGTTTCCATTTCCAGAGATATCTTGTTAACAAGTATACACCACCAAACGAAGTTGATTTTTTAACCCATCATTTAACATTTTCTCCATAAGGTGGCAAGGAGAAGGGAGTATATGGGGACTGGGTACCTTGAGAGACCCCAAGACGGGACAGAGAGGCTGAGATTGGCATGTTGTCTGCTGCAGTTGCTTGCCAGTGACACACTCTTCCTGTCCAAACTAACTTCTCTGCCTCAAGGAAAGACTGCCTTTCAACCGGAGAGAAACCAGAACTCACAGCTTTAATGAAAATTGGACTTGGAGTGGGGCAGTGGAGACTTTTCACAGCCACTGTTTAGCTGAAGAAGCAGGTGCTTCTCCATCTTTGGAGCCTGTCTTCACTACCTGTGGACCTCATCCTTATCAACCCAGAACCCTCTCTCTATTTTGGCTAAACACCGAACAACTGAGGCTGGCCCTGTAAAATGTTCCCTCCAAATGCCCCCTTGGTTTTCCTCTATTAAAGATCTGGATCACAACCCTCAAAAACCACGTCCCTTATGCCACCTGAGTAGATGGTTTGATGATTAATTAGGCACAGATGTGACACGAGTCTCACAATGGCCCGTGGGTCACATGATACTTTCCTTTTCCTTTTCATCATCGTCAGCTGCCCTAAAGCCAGTTGAGCCTGTGGTCCTAGTCTCACAACCTGGGGGTCCTGGGGTGTGTGAGGGGAACACCCCATTAAGCTCGGGGAACTGGGGCTGCCACCAGGGGGCGCGAGGGTCCCTCACCTGAGGAGGGAGTGGGCAGGCGCCTCCAGGGGAGAAGGGCACCGCAGCCGGAAGCACAGGTCTTCGCGGTGCCACTTCCACCAAGTGAGTTCGAGGAAGTACCTGGGATCTTTGATATAACGCCAAAGGCCTTTCCAGAGAGCTCTTGAAGAGCTGAGAACCCAAGCCTTCCACCTCTAGTTCACGGCTTTGCCACTCTAGGACCCGAGGTTACGTTTGCTGCTGGGGATCTGACAAACCCAAAGCCTCTCTGGTTTCACCACTGGATCCTTAGAATCGGACTTCTGTACTGAATGGCACCCATGTAAGTCAGGGGAGTCAGGAGCTGGGGACGTGATCATCGAAGTATGGTCCCCAGACTGGCTGTATCAATGTCAGCATCTCCCAGGACCTGGTTGGAAATGCATGTTCTCGGGCTACTCCAAAACCCTTAATATGAGACTGGGGCTGCGGGGAGCGCCATCTGTGCGCCACTGTCCTTGTGGGTGGACCAGGAGGCGGCTCAAGGGTGCTCCCACTTCGGGGTCACGCGCGGCGCCGGGTGCTCCTGAGACCGCCGGGCTCCTCTGTGGTCACGTGGGCTTAGGCACTACTCCCCTCTACCGTCCTCTCGGTCTTTAAAAGAAAAAAGGGGCTTATCGTTAAGTCGCTGGTGATCTTTTCAGTTTCTCCAGCCGCTGGCTTTTCGGATACTCACTCCCCCGCCCGGAGGCAGCTGCGGGAAATAACTGCCTCTTGAAACTTGCAGGGCAGAGAGCAGGCGGCGAGCGCTGGGCTGGGAAGGGACCACCCGAGCTGCGACGGGCCCCAGGGCTGGCGCTCGGAGCCGGGGCTGCACGAGGAGCGCTCGCTTTCAACAGGTGGCCGCGGGGCGCGTGCCGGGAGGCCCCTACTGCGGGAAAAGCACGTGTCCGCATTTTAGAGACTGCAAGGCCGGTGTGTTTATCCGCAAGGTAAGCGCCCTTTCGCTCAAGGTGTGATTTCTCATTTTGTTTGAAATCCTGCGATGAGAAACCAGTCATGTTGAGAACAATAAAAGACCAAAAAAAAAAAAAAAAAAAAAAATCACCAAAACCAACTGTATTGCAAGCTGCCGGAAAGATGGAAAATACTTTTGATCATGCTTTGATCAAATGTCTCTATTCAAGATACCGGCAAGTTAACTTATTTAGTTTGTGCTTGTGAGCTCTGGATTGATTTTGCTAATATGAATGTCTGGGAAAAAAATTGCTTTTTCTCTGGTTTTCCTCGGTGGATTTCCCCAGTGTAGATGAAATGACTGTTGAACACACTTTCTGATTGAAGTTTGAGGACCTGGGAAGATGTACATGTCTCAAACAGATGATAGGGGTTTTTTAATGTATTGGCATTCCTCAGCCATGTCAGCAAGCTGAGTTCCTCCTTTCCTGGGCTAAGCGCTATCTGGTATCCTTTATTTGCTGAAGAGGGGTCCAACTACTGCCCTCTAACCCCCTCCGTGTTATTCTTATTGGAAGGGTAATATTAAGTCAAGTAAATGTCATTTTTGTGAAAAATAAAACTTCGAATGGACTTCTATTGAGGAAGATAAGGTCGATTTAATTTTACTTGCTGTTTAAAAAGCAGAATTGTGTTTTGGTGTGGTAGGCAACACTTGGGAGGAAAGAGTTTGCCTTATTTTGTTATATTTCTAGTATTTACATGGGCATTCCATTAGAAAGTTTTCCTTTTGCTGTAAGTTTCATAACTCAGTGTCTAGTTTCCTCTGTGTGAGGGGAAAGATGTTTAAAAAGTGAACATGTGAAAGGAAAGGTTTTTCTGAGAGTGTTGTGAAAAGCAAATGTACTATGACTATGAAAACATGCTTCACATTTTCAACTATTTTTTTCTGAAGAAAATCAATATATTTTGGCATAAGTTCTAGAAGAAGGAAACTGTAAGGATCTGTTCATCAATAGGCATTAGAGCATACACCTTAGGATTGCATTTTACGTTCAAGTCTTTTTTTTTTAGATGAATTTCTTGAACATTCTCATTTCAAAAGCTATCAGATGCTTGTAGCACTTAAGTTTTGCTCAAGACAGAAGTCTCTGAAATCAATTAACATGTTTAGGACACATTTCATAGTGTTCTGAGGGATGTGAATAAATCTAATCACCATTTACACTTCTCAAAATGTATTTATAATTCAGAAAAGGTGAATTTAGTAGTAAATTCAACTTATAACCATTTAATTAACATTTAATAGATATTGATATGGTCACTCTTAAAAATAAGACATTGACATTTTCTATAAATGATTCAACATGTAATGATTCAAAATACATCTTGTGATAATTTTAGGTGATGTTTTGAATCATTTTGTAGAACATGAATATGAATAAAATATAAAATACTGAAGGCTGAACTTGAAGTGTTTACTAGTAAATTTTTGATAATACATCTAGAACCCTTGAGAATTGTATGCTTGAACATTAGATTTCATAATTCAGGTGTCCAGCATTTTGTTTTACATGTAATAGTACTTTTAAATAATTAGGCTACTGCAGTGTAACTTGCATACAGTAAAATTTAGCCTCTGTAAGTGTACCTCTGTGAATTCTGACAGATGCAGTTATATAACCAGCACCACAGACAAGACACGAAACAGCTCCATCGCCCCAAAAGTCCCCCATGTACCTCTTTGTAGTCAACCCTCTCCACCTACCCCACTGCCCCTGAAAATCACTGATCTGTTTGCTGATTATGTAATTTTGCTCTTTTTTTTTTCCAAAATGTTATACCACAAGTTTTGCTCTTTAGTATGTTTTTACTTATGCATATTTTCCTTTCTTCACTTTTCTTGAAAGAAAAACCTGTTCTTCTGTTTTTATAGGCTGAGTCTGTGGTATTTTTGTTTGAATTCTAGTACCTTGGGATAAATTAAGGCAAAGACAATGCTATTTGCAAATGGGAAACTAGAGACTTGAGCTAAGTGTTAAATTCATATTGGTCTAACAGATTTAGTTCTTAGCAGATTTAGATTCTATTGCGGTTTAAGCCTTTGGTTATGGTATATTATCATTGGTTATCCTGAATTGAAATAGGCTATTAAAAGTTGTTATTTATATCATATTAATAGCACCATTCTGTTCCAATCTTTGAAATTTAAAACTTATTTCTGTATTTGAAAAAACTACTTTCATTATACCTCAGATTAAGAAAGCTACACCTGAAATTGCATATTATCAAATAGTGAGAAGCAAAAGAGGGATTGAAAACAACAACTTGAAGACATTTAAAATGCAGAGTGATTACGATTGCTCAGGGTAAAATATTTATCTTCATAGGAGCTTAGGTATGTACCCAACTTACTTGTAGATGTCAGGATTTTTAAATTTCTGTGCTCATGCCTTGAAGTCTAGATTTTCCTGCAGGGTGCAGATGCAAAATCTTTTGTAAACTAATAGTTTTTCTTGTTTAATACAGTATTTAATTCACTATACAGTTAGGAGCCTGTTATTGGTAGTTATTTCTAATATATATATGTGTGTGTCTATATATACACATATAAAGTAGATGTCTTTTTCCTTTTTCTTTCATTCTGTGAAAAACAGTCTCAGCTGGGTATGGTGGCTCATATCTATAATCCCAGCACTTTGGTAGGCTGAGGCAGGTGGATCACAAGGTCAGGAATTCGAGACCAGCCTGGCCAACATGGTAAAACCCCATCTCTACTAAAGATACAAAAAATTAGCTGGGTATGATGGTGCACTGTAACCTCAGCTACTTGGGAGGCTGAGCAGGAAAATTGCTTGAACCTGGGAGGTGAAGGTTGCAGTGAGCCTAGATTGTGCCGTTGCACTCCAGCCTGGACAACAGGATGAGACTCTGTCTCAAAAAAAAAAAAAAAGGAAAACAGTCTGTGTTTTAAATATGTAACTTACCTTGCATACCCAGTTACAGTGGTAGTAACTAGGATATGCAGAGTGGCAAGTTTATGAGGAACTAGTTGGCCTTTCTAGCTGGAATTAAGACAGGTCTTGAAAATGAAGGACTTTTAGTGGAGAATCTTTGTGTGGGTGTACTTGACAGAGGGCAGGAGAGTTAGGGTGACCTGGAAAAACACTGCTGGACTTGTATATGTTTCCTCAAAGCCAGACTGCAGCATTTTGTTGGTAAATTGTTTTGTGTTCTGTCAAACCCAGGGTTGGAAGGAGGTGTAGTGCATTCAGCCTAACTTTGGATTGGCCATGTTATCTTGCATCTCTTCACTCAGAATTCTCTCTAACCCTGTCCCAAATGAATATTTGAATTTGGTTCAGTTTCTGCAGAGCATTGTCTGTGGCTGTTGTGGGTATTGGGGAGGAGCAGAAACTTGCTATCAAGAGAAAAGACAGATGAACTCTCTCCCATGCCTGCCTTTGAGGCTTTGTCCTCTTACCCTATTCAAGCCCTCAAAACTATTTCCTATCTAAATAAGCGCCAATTGGTTACTAGGATAATTAGCTTTTCCTCATTTTGGAAGGAAACAGGGTTTCTTGATATGCATGTTCTTAAGAATTACATGCAAAACAGTTTTTTTTTTTTTTTTTTTTAGACTTGCTCTTTCACCAAAGTGCTAGGCTGGAGTAGGGCAATCTCGGCTCACTGCAAAAGTCTCAATATTTTGTTTTGAAAGAGTATATTGAAAGAGGCCAGGAGTTCGAGACCAGTCTGGGTAACACGGTGAGACTTGATCTCTACAAAAATTAAAATATTAGCTGTGCATGATGGTGCATGCCTCCGCCTCCTGGCTTCATGCAATTCCCCTGCCTCGGCCTCCCAAGTAGCTGGGACTACAGGCATGCACCACCATGCCCAGCTAATTTTTGTATTTTAGTAGAGATGGGGTTTCACTATGTTGGCCAGGATGGTCTTGATCTCTTGACTTCATGATCTGCCCGCCTCAACCTCCCAAAGTGCTGGGATTACAGGCGTGAGCTACCTCGCCCAGCCACCAAACAGTTTTTAGTGATGAGTTCTGTGGTGATTTTGGAGTGTTTTATCTTCCTAATTAATATTAAATTGATTAAAAGTCTCAATATTTTGTTTTGAAAGAATATATTTAAAAAGGCTGGGTGTGGTGGCTCATGCCTATAATCTCAGCAATTTGGGAGGCCTAGGTGTGTGGATCACTTGAGGCCAGGAATTTGAGACCAGCCTAGCCAAATATTGAAACCCTGTCTCTACTAAGAATACAAAAATTAGCTGGGCATGGTGGCTCATGCTGGTAATCCCAGCTACTCAGGGGGCTGAGAATTGCTTGAACCTGGGCAGAGGTTACAGTGAACTGAGATCGTGCCACTGCACTCCAGCCTGGACAGCAAAGTAAGACTCTATCTCAAAAAAATTTTTTTAAAAGGGATACATTTAAAGATAATAACTGGCCAGGTGTGGTGGCTAAGGCCTGTGATCTCAGCACTTTGAGAGGCCAAGATGGGAGGACTGCTTAAGGCCAGGAGTTCAAGACCAGTCTTGAACTGGTAACACAGTGAGACTGGATCTCTATAAAAATTTAAAAATTAGCTGTGCATGATGGTGCATGCCTTTAGTCCCAGCTATTGGGGAGCAGAGTTTGGAGGAGCCCTTGAGCCCAGGAGGTCAAGGCTGCAGTGGGCCATGATCTTGCCACTATACGCCAGCCTGGGTTACAGAACAAGACCATGTCTCAAAAAAAAAAAAAAAAAAAAGGCTAATAGTCGCCTAACAGCTACTTACACACATCAAGGATTCTTGTTGCTTAAGAAATCTTTTTAAATTTTTACCATGAAATTCCTTCTAGTTTCTACTTTGTGAGTGTGAAGTTTTTACTTCTATAGGGCACATAAATGTGAGATGATTGAACTGAATGCTTGGGAAAGTGTGATGGGCAGGTGGAAGAGGAACAGGGATGAGCTATCAGAGTCTTCCTACTCTGCAAGCTTGAGAATATGGGATCAGGAATATGTGGCATTTTGTCCGCACACACAGTGTTGTCAGGCTCCCAGCTATCTGGAATCTAGGGGTGATGGATTTCTGTAGAACAGAAACCAAAAAGTAAAATTAGGAGGCAGAAATCTTCAAGGTGGCCAAAAGACATTGTAACTTGTCTGGAAATTCCAACCAACACTATATGTGTATCCAATGACATACCAATAGTCTGGCACATACCATAGTCTGTGTAATAATACCTTACAGAATCCTTTCACAGACATTATCTCATTTCATTCTCAGAGCACTGTGAAAAGGCACAGCCCCAAATTGGTACCTGTTTCTACTGAAAATGTGGCAGAGCTCAGGGAGTTTGTGGATTTGTCTAAGACTGCCTGGCTTTCAGGCAGAGCTAGGGCTACAGCGAATGTTCTGCTTTGGCCACTGATAGAAATATATATAAGAACAGGCTTGATGGTGGCTGACCTCTTATTAACTAGATTTATAGGTGCCTTGATAAAAATAAGTCTAGTCTTTTTGGAGTGTCTTTCTGCCATTTCTAGGGCCAACCTTTTTCTTCTTGACAGAATGACTGTCAATATTTGGAATTTTTAATATTTTTGTTTTAGTTCAAGAGCCATAATATGTTCCCCAGCTGGTACAGTAGAACACCATGCATAATCCCATGTGTACAAAAAGCTTTATGGCTGAATTCAGATGTGACTTGAGAGGGCCAAACACAGGTGTGTGTGCTGGGGGAATGAGAGAAATCTCTAAACAGAACACAAGGGCTGCTCACCACCCAGGATGGGGACCAACTATTTTAGGTTATGGTCACTAATTAAAGAAAATTGACATGTAAATAAATAATTTTTAGAATCAGGATACTGGGTACTGGTTCTTTGGTTGCCCAGGTGAAATTCCATGCCAGGCACAACAATTAAACTCTTTAGAGACCATTTTTTCCTGTTGTACCAGACATTGTGGTTACTGAGGCCACATCTGGATATTTAAACGATGTATTGGGAAACTCTCTACCCTACGATGTTAAAGAAATTCCATCTTTTGGGGAGTCTTTCCTTTGACCAGTTTATATCTCTGTTTTAGAGTAGGACTACTCACCCAGAATGGATTTGTTTATTCATTTTTCTAGACCTCTGGGGGAAAGACCCCTCTTTTTGCTACCTGTTCTCCTGTCTCACAGACTGTTAAAATGCTTTAAGTTCATCACTCCTTTCCCTTTTTATGGCTTTGTTTAGGAAGAAAAACTCTGCATTGGCTACCAAGTTCCTGATTATTTAAGGCCACTGACAGATAGTTGTCATGTGAATCTGATCTAAAATATGTCCAAACAAAAAGCACCTAGCCTCTTAATGACTCTCCAGAAGTCAGTTCTGGAGAACTGAGAGTTTCATGCTCACATTTCAACTCTTATGAGGTTCATATTTTCATATATATATTTCTCAGGATGTATTTTTAATCTCATACAAGTGTATTTTTTTTTGAGTAAAAATGTTTAAATTTTCGTAGTTACACCTATAGCTCTAACTTGGCAATGTCTTCTGTTTTTCTTTACAGTCATTAAACTTACCCAAGAATCTTTGACGACATTATAATGCCCTTTGTGCCTCTTCTCGCGAGGTGTTATCCTAGCTGTTATCTCAAGACATGGATATAAAAAACTCACCATCCAGCCTTAATTCTCCTTCTTCCTACAATTTTGGTCAATCCATCTTACCCTTGGAGCACGGCCCTATATACATACCTTCCTCCTATGTAGAGAGCCACCATGAATATCCGGCCATGACATTCTATAGCCCTGCTGTGATGAATTACAGCATTCCCAGCAGTGTTACTAACTTGGAAGAGGGGCCTGGTCGGCAGATCACAAGCCCAAATATGCTGTGGTCAACACCTGGCCACCTTTCTCCTTTAGCTGTCCATCACCAGTTATCACATCTGTATGCAGAACCTCAAAAGAGTCCCTGGTGTGAAGCAAGATCACTAGAACATACCTTACCTGTAAGCAGGTAAGTCCAGTCTTTATTCTGAATTATAGTTCCTGGGCATTTCTCAAATCACTTATGGTTTAGTGAGAAGAAAATACCATGCTAGACAAGGTCTTTATTAATTACATAGTTTACTTAGAGCACCCAAAACATAGAATGCCTTGTTCTATTCTGATCTAGTTCTCATTAAAAAGTGGTATGTATACATCAATGTTGTAGGGAGAATTTGCTATTGAGACTATTGTCTTTATACAGTAAAGACTGAACTTAAGTCACTCTTTTTTTTGGAGGTAGGGTCTCACTCTGTCACTCAGGCTGGAGTACAGTGATGCAATCTCAGCTTACTGCAACCTCCACCTCCTGGGTTCAAGCAATTCTCGTGCCTCAGCCTCCCGAGTAGCTGGGATGACAGGCATGCACCACTATGCCTGGCTCATTTTTTTGTATTTTTAGTAGAGACAGGGTTTCACCATGTTGGCCAGGCTGGTCTTAAACTCCTGACCTCAAATGATCCTCCCACCTTGGCCTTCCAAAGTGCTGGGATTACAGGCATGAGCCACTGCACCTGGTCTGAACTTAACTCACTCTTTTTTTTTTTTTTTTTTTTTTTTTTTTTAAAATAAGAGACGGGGTTTCACCGTCTTGGCCAGGCTGGTCTTGAACTCCTGACCTCTTGATCCACCCACCTCGGCCTCCCAAAGTGCTGGGATTACAGGCGTGAGCCACCATGCCTGGCCTTTTTTTTTTTTTTTTGAGACAGAGTCTTGTTCTGTTGTCAGGCACCAGGCTGGAGTGCAGTGGTGCAATCTCGGCTCACTGCAATCTCTGCCTCCTGGATTCAAGCAATTCTCCTGCCTCAGCCTTCCGAGTAGCTGGGATTACAGGCACATGCCACCACACCCAGCTAATTTTTGTATTTTTTTTAGTAGAGACTGGTTTTCACCATGTTGGCCAGGATGGTCTTGATCTCTTGATCTGGTGATCCGCCTGCCTCAGCCTCCCAAAGCGCTGGGATTACAGGCGTAAACCACCACACCTTGCTTAAGCTCACTCTTAATGGAGTTATTTGGATTTGAAAAATGAGTTTTTACTTTGTTTTGGAGTCTTCTTAAATAGTGAAATCCCAATTTAGTGTTCATGACAAATTGTTTCCAGGATAAAAGTAACTGTGGCAGTATTACGACTTAAATGAAATTCTAGACATGCAAAGCTTGAAAACACAGACAATTGATATAAGCTTTTTAACCCTGAACTAAAACAATACCATTATTTAAAGATCGGTGGAAACTATTGAAATATAGGCTTCAGTTGACATTTCCTGAAGTTAAAAATGCCAGGTGTGGTGGCTCACACCTGTAATCCCAGCACTTTGGGAGTCTGAGGTGGGAGGATCACTTGAGGTTGGGAGTTCGAGACCAGCCTGATCAACATGGAGAAACCCCATCTCTACTAAAAATAGAAAATTAGCTGGGCATGGCAGGGTGTGGTGGCTCACACCTGTAACCCCAGTTCTTTCGGAGGGGAGGTAGGCAGATCAGGAGGTCGGGAGATGGAGACCATCCTGGCTAACATGGTGAAACTGTCTTTACTAAAAATGCAAAAAATTAGCCAGGTGTGGTGGCGGGTACCTGTAGTCTGAGCTACTTGGGAGGCTGAGGCAGGAGAATTGCTTGAACCCAGGAGACAGAGGTTGCACTGAGCCGAGTCGTGCCACTGCACTCCAGCCTCGTGACAAAGTAAGACTCTGTCTCAAAAAAAAAAAAAAAAAAGTTGGGCATGGTGGCGCATGCCTGTAATCCCAGCTACTTGGGAGGCTGAGGCAGGAGAATTGCTTGAACTTGGAGCGGAGGTTGTGATGAGCTGAGATTGTGCCATTGCACTCCAGCCTGGGCAACAGGAGTGAAACTCTGTCTTACAAAAGAAGATATGTGTATTCTTTAAATGCAAGGTAACATTATGGATTATTTCCATTTAATTTGTAATATTTCTAATGATAATCATAGGTACGAAGGGAAGGGATGGTATTATGAGAAAGGAGACGGGGAGATAAACATCTAAGTGAAACTACTAAGGGCATACTGGATATTGAAATTCGTTACTTTCAAATATTGTCATAAAACTTTGAGAAAGCAACATTGTACCATAAATTTTACTTGTCTTCTTTTGTTTTACTCTTAAAGCAGTAAAAGAAGAGAATATAAACATTGTGGATAACTTTTTTAAAGTAATTTTTTTTCTTCTGTAAAAGTAGATATTTTGTTTCTCAGCTTGAATTCTAATCAAATAATGCTAATTTTTGAGAAAATTAAGCCCCATGATATGATTACCTTCATTTATAGATCAATAATACATTTACTATTCCCTTCCCAAAAGAGCCATGCCCTTGCAACATCAGGAACCAGCCACATATGTTTTGGGTTCTTCCTGGGGCTCCCTTGCTAGACTCTCTGTTCCTTTACGGACCTCTTTCCCCTGGTCCAGCATCGAGCCTCTGCTTCCTTCCAGGCCTTTCCAGGCCAGGTACTTGCTTGCTCTCTCCCTTCTTTTCTCTTTTTTTTCTCTCTCTCTCTTCTCTTCCCCGTTTTTCTTCTCTCCCATTGATCTCAAGGTAACTTAAAGTCCATTTGTTACTTAAAGTTATTTTTATTTTTTTGAGACAGAGTCTCGCTTTATCGTCCAGGGTGGAGTGGCGCATATCTGGGCTCACTGCAACCTGCACCTCCTGGGTTCAAGCAATTCTCCTGCCTCAGCCTCACAAGTAGCTGGGATTACAGGTGTGTGCCACCATGCCCAGCTAATTTTTGTATTTTTAGTAGAGATGGGGTTTCCCCTTGTTGACCAAGCTGGTCTCGAACTCCTGGCCTCAGGTGATCCGCCCACCTTGGCCTCCCAACATGCTTGGATTACAGGTTTGTACCATCGCACCCGACCTTAAAGTTATTTTAAATCCAGACCTTTAGCTGAAATTGCAGAGTGCAAGATGTTCTCCATTTAAGTGGGACCCTCAAATGTCTGAAGGGCTGCTTAGCAATGCTATTGGGAATTACTGATATTTGTCTATATGCTTCCAGACTCATCCATGCAGCATTTGTGAACTCTAGTAACTACAGAAGACCAATGCATATCCTGCCTATGGTTCAGATCTGTGGGTAAGATTTGATCTGGCCACTCCTTTCATTACACTTAAAGATGCACCCCCTACCCCATGGCTATGACAGGTCTTCTGCAGTGACAAATGCTCAGCATCACATGGATGGGCATAAACTCACTTTCAAACATCAGTCATTCCCCACAGCGTGGCTTTTTGTAGCTATGATACCAGTATCAAAAGTTTTTCTCTAAGGCTGGGCACGGTGGCTCACTCCTATTATCCCAACACTTTGGGAGGCCAAGGCGGGTGGATCACGAGGTCAAGAGATCAAGACCATCCTGGTCAACATGGTGACCCTCTCTCTACTAAATTATACAAAAATTATCTGGGCATGGTGGCGCACATCTCTAGTCCTAGCTACTCGGGAGGCTGAGGCAGGAGAATTGTTTGAACCCAGGAGGCGGAGGTTGCAGTGAGCCAAGATCGCGCCATTGCACTCCAGCCTGGGTAACGACCAAAACTCCATAAAAAAAAAAAAAAAAAAAAAAAAAATTTTTCTCTGTCAGATTTCCTGGAATATATTTACCATGAACCCTGGAGGAAAAAGAGATTAAATTAGGCAATGTTCATGCTATTTTTTTTTTCCTAGAAGGCCCTTCCTTTCCCTTTTATTCTCTGTTCAATGGATATTTTCTTTGCTCCCTAGAGAGACACTGAAAAGGAAAGTTAGTGGGAACCATTGTGCCAGCCCTGTTACTGGTCCAAGTTCAAAGAGGGATGCTCACTTCTGTGCAGTCTGCAGCGATTACGCATCGGGATATCACTATGGAGTCTGGTCGTGTGAAGGATGTAAGGCCTTTTTTAAAAGAAGCATTCAAGGTAAAAGAGAATTGTTAACTGCTTGTTTACTTTCCTACTTTTGCTTTCAAACAATTTTGCAGAGATGACTTGGCAGAAATGTCACTGTTGGCCTGTTTGGCACACAAAGTATTTGATGAACAGTTCAGAGGATCATGTGCATCTGGGAGTGGTTTGGGTGGTAAAGGGGAGTTGCAGATTTCTACCCCAGAAACCCAAGATTATACAGCCAATTCAAAGGGGTCTTACCCTTCCTTCTTCACCCACATGGGTGTTGGATAGAAGACATCGAGTTACAACCTTGGGAAGATGTCTCTTGGAAAAACATGTGCTCACAAGGAGTTGCAAAGATGTTTCTTTCTTTTACTTAAATGTAATATACCACATGCTTAGCAGTCATGATGGTGGGCTGGCTCCTGAGGAAGAGAGAATAAACACATTTTATGGAAATGGTCAGAAATCGGGAATTCAACTGCAGTGGACTTTGAGAATTGATCTAGACACATTTCTTCCCCTGGGTTAGAAGGGGTCTCAGTTCACAATCCCCTTGTTTTCTGGGCTGAGTTTAGACTATTTCCCTGACTTTGTCTAAATTCCTTCTGGATTTTTAAAAAATCAACTTATTGAGGAAAAGAATTAAACTCTGTAAAATATTTGAAGAGATTTATTCTGAGCCAAATATGAGTGACAAATGGCCCATAACACAGCCCTCAGGAGAGCTGAGAACATGTGCCCAAGGTGGTCAGGCCACACTTGGTCTCATACATTTTAGGGAGACATAAGGCATTAATCAATGCATGCAAGATAACATTGATTCAGTTTGGAAAGGCAGAACAGCTGAAAGCAGGGGCTTCCAAGTCATAAGTGATTCAAATACTTTCTGATTTGCAATTGGTTGAAAGAATTATTATCAATAGGAAGGAATGGCTGGGTTACAATAAGGGATTGTGGAGACCAAGGTTTTATCACGCAGATGAAGCCTCCAGGTAGCAGGCTTCAGAGAGAATAGATTGTAAATGTTTCTTATGGGATTTAAAGAGTCTGTTCTGTCAGTGATTCCAAAACGGAGAAGGGTAAAATGAACCATGTCTGACTCCCCCTTCCCATCATGGCCTAAACTTATTTTTCACATTAACTTTGGAATGCCCTTGGCCAAGAGGAGGGGCCCATTCAGATGGTTGAAGGGTGGGCCTTAGAATTTTATTTTTTGGTTTATAAAACTTCTAGTTGCTCACCCCTGGTTTCAAGGCCAGGCAGCCCATCTCCCTGCACATGTCCTTGCTACACACTCTCCCTTGACAGCCCTGATTTGCTGAAGTCACTTTCCTGCTTACTCTTGTTTTCTCTTTTTGCCATATAACTTCTCCCTCAATAGCCCCCTCCCAGGTAACACCCTATGTTTCCATCTGAAAGCTCCCTTCCTTTTTCTATCAGAGCCTTAGCGCTTTTGTTCTTTACGTCTGAGGGAATTCATAGTGAGTAAATGGCAAATGGCAATTTACTAAATTAACTCACCCTTTGATAACTCTAGATGAAGAGGACATTTTACCTCAGGCAGAGAGACACTGATAAAATTCAGGACGTGGTGAGGAGTGAAATGTTGGTAGATAGAGTCACCTTCCTACCTGTGCCCTGAAATTCACCCTGTGTGGATGACATTTGTCTTGGATTTGATGCTTAACTAGCTCCATGACTTCACCTCCCAGCCTTTTCCTCCTCTGTGAAATGGAGATACTCAGAGGGATTTTCTAAAGATGAAGTGAGGTTGATTATATGAAAACATATTCAGTGCTCAAATATTTTGTTCGATAACTCTAACAGTAGATTATAAGGCCAAGTCTTGTTCCCTACTATATGATAAGAACAATCTAGATTTTCTGAAATTTTGAACTGAACTCTTGATATGATGACTATTTTCTATGTTACTGAGGTTTTAGAATTTTATCCCTTAAGAACATTTTGACCAATTATTACTAACCATATCTTTTAAAAAAGAGACCCTTTTTTTTTTTTGCTGTTGGGGAAACATCTGTCTGCTTGAAACATCTTTGACTGTTAAGACTATAGCTGATAGCAATTGAAAGTAAATTCCCTCTGCTTCTCTGTGGTGTTTCTTCCTTCCTGCTGCATCAGATAGGAACGTTAAATTCTAAATGTGCAAAGAGGAAAGAGTTAAAGCTCTTACAGTTGTTTAGCGCTTAAATGATCCTTTCTTTGCATGCTTCCTGCCTTTGATAGAAGTGCATTGTAGTAACTGAAAGTGGCCACTCATTTTTAAAATTGTCTCAAATAGGCCAGGATCGTACAGTATTCACTTGAGAAATTCCTTGCATTTAACATTCTTTTGTTTATATAATTTTAAACTTGTCTTGTATCTCAGGCATGTGTCTGTCCCCTTCGCTGTACAAGTGCACTGGAAGCTGTGTTGTGCTTGCTGTTCCATTGATGCTCTGTTGGCTTCTTCACACAATGAGTTGCTGTCAGAGTAATAAGTGCTGTTGTTTCTCTCCTGGGTTATGGAGCACAGAGGAAGGGAGGACATAGGGAGAGTGACCTCATCATTTCTTCTGATCCAGATGAAGGCGTGGCTTGTTTTTCAAGCTTACCCTTTACGTTTTATTGTCTTTCCTATTGGTGTTCATTTAACAAATATTTATTGAGCACTGTACCAGGCTCTACGGATACAGTGGTGAACAAGACAGTACATTATAAATTCTGTGAGGGCAAGGATTTTCGTCCATTTTGTTCACTAGTGGCACTCAACAATTCCTTGAATGGCAATGTTTCAAAATTAATTGAGTTCCTACACAGAGTTCTGTACCCTTTTTAACTTAATATCATTTTGTAAGCATTTCTGTTGTTAAATTTCCAAACAACTTTTTCAAAACTGTGTAATAATCTATCTTATGATCAGATTTAATTGAACTCTTTATTGTTAAAGACCTTATCAGTTATTTTCATTGTTTTAAATAATGCTATGGTTAATTTATTTGTTCATGAAGCTTTGAAAAAATCTTTAATAGTTTCTCTGGATACACTTTTAGAACGAATCTGTAGGGTCAGAGTGTATTAACGTTTAAAGTTCTTGACTGATGTTTTCAAGTGTTCAAGTCTCAAGAAGGTTGTACAGACTTGCTCTTCTACCAGCAGTGTGAGTGTCGCTTTTACCAGCCTCTTGGTAGCACTGACTCTTATCATCAAAAAGAAAAACACCTTTCTATGTTGATAGGTCATGTATGGTATCTTTTGGTTTTTAATTTGCTTCTCTTTATTAGTGAGGTAAATGTTTTCCCATAAATCTATCTGCCATTTGTATTTTCTTGTTTTTCTTCTTTATTCAGAACTTTTGCCCATTTTTCTGTCAGGTTCTCACATTTTCCTGATAAATTATTGTGTGCTTTATATGTTACCATATCAACCTTTTATTACATGTATGACAAATATTTTTTCTACTTGATTCTGATGTTGACATGCAGAAATATTTAATCTTTAAATAGTCAAATATCACTAACTTTGACAGTTTTGTATATAGTTTTTAAATCAAAAAAGGTCATTTCATACCCAGGCATTATATAAACTTTGCCTATATTTTGTCATTTAATAGTTTGTTTTTACATTTTATCATTTAATTCAAAAGGAATTTATTTTGGCATACTGAATGAAATAAGAATCAAATGGATTTGTCTCAATAATTTTCTCCACATTATTTTACTGAATACATTTATTTTTCATTGATTTAAAATATGAGAGCTGGCCGGGCGTGGTGGCTCAAGCCTGTAATCCCAGCACTTTGGGAGGCCGAGGCGGGTGGATCACGAGGTCATGATATCGAGACCATCCTGGTCAACATGGTGAAACCCCATCTCTACTAAAAATACAAAAAATTAGCTGGGCACGGTGGCGCGTGCCTGTAATCCCTGCTACTCAGGAGGCTGAGGCGGGAGAATGGTTTGAACCCAGGAGGGGGAGGTTGCGGTGAGCCGAGATCGTGCCATTGCACTCCAGCCTGGGTAACGAGCGAAACTCCATCTCAAAAAGAAAAAAAAAAAAAAAAAAAAAAATGAGAGCCAATTTTTTAAAAGATGAGTTTGAGATACAATTTGCATACAATAAAATTTACCTATATTAATTTTGTGGGTTTATGAGTTTTGAAAATATATGTAGTCATGCAACCACCACCATAATTAAGATATGGATGTTATTATCACCCCTAAAATTTGCTCATGTCCATTGCAACCAGTTTCTCCTGAATTTCCCAGGCCCTGGGAATCATTGGTTTGTTTCCTTTTTTTTTTTTTTTTTTGAGACGGAGCCTTGCCTAGCTTGGAGTGCGGTGGCTGATCTTGGCTCACTGCAATCTCCGCCTCCTAGATTTAAGCGATTCTTTTCCTTCAGCCTCCCGTGTAGCTGGGACTACAGGCATGTACCACCACACCTGGCTAATTTTTTGTATTTTTAGTAGAGATGGGGTTTCACCATGTTATCCAGGATGGTCTCCATCTGACCTCATGATCCACCCACCTCGGTCTCCCAGAGTGCTGGGATTACAGGTGTGAGCCACTGTGTCCACCCCACTGGTCTGTTTTCTGTCACTCTAGTTTTGCCTTTTTGAGAATGCCATATTGTATTTGTATTTGGCTTTTTATTTATCATAATGCTTTTGAGATTTATCTGTGTTGTTGCATGTATCAGTAGTTCATTCCTTTTTGTTGCTGAGTAATATTGCAATGTATAGATCTATCACTGTTTATTCATTCATTTGGGTTGTTTAAAGTTTTGTGCTATTTTGAATAAACTGTTACAAGCATTCATGCATATCTCTCTGTGCAGACATATGTTTTTGTTTCTCTTGGGTACCTAAGTATAAAATTTCTAGTTGTGTGATAAGTGTATGTTTATAAGATTGTTTTCCAATGTGGCTGGATGACTTTGCATTTTCCCAATTTTAGTATATGTGCTGCTGAAGCGAGCACGACTTTGCATTCTTGACAACAATGTGTGAGAGAGTTCCCGTTGCTTTA